AAAAAAAAAAAAAAAAAAAAAAAAAAAAAAAAATGCTTTGTTCTTTGTAAATGCAGTTAGTTGAATGTAAGTTCTATGGGAAGAGGGATCTTTGTTTCATTCATTACTAAACCCCTTGAATGGTGCATGAAGTTTCAAATAAGCAATTAAGAAATAGTTTTGAATGAATAGAGTATGCACAGATTACCATGCACTTGGCACAAGGGTAGGGTCCATCTGCCTCTGCAGGTGACCATATACAATTGAATAAATAACAACAAGAAAGAATTTTATTAGCACCTAGACAAAATGCAACATAACTATTCCTATAGTTTCTGAACCGTCATTTAAAACTCCTACAATTTTTTTGAAGAACTGCAATATATATATTACAAAGATAAAATATCTAATATTTTCTTGAACCAGGATACTATAATTTCTTAAAATGACCAGAATATAGACCCTCATGATAAAGAAGAAAAACAACAGTTAAAAGTTTAGAAAAAATTTTCTACTCCTCTGCTTAAGAGTCAAGCCCTAACCTTTAGCTTTGTTAAAAAAAACTATGTGGAAAATAAAATTTAAATTATTTGTTATTTAAATGTTGAGGTGGCATACAGACAGCCATAAGGAGGACTTATTGAATATTAATAAATACCAAAGTAAAATAATTTTTTAGAATGCTTACTATAAAAACACAATAGATGTGGACCATAAACCACACAGACTAAAGTAGGCATCTATAGATTTTGTCCTCGGGCTAATTATAAATTAGTTTGAAAATTGCCAAAGTAAACAGCACAGCCTCCATGCCTCTTTGCCAAATCTCTTATAAAGCGGATAGAACCAGGGATCCAAAGAACAATGAAAAATAATTTTTTAATAAATCCATTCTCCTCTGAAGTTGTATGAGAAGAAAAGGTCACTTTCTCACTTACTAGCTTATATTTTGGTACCCCTTGTTTTTTTATTGTTGATATTTGTATGTATTATGCTCTATTTATGCATTCTTCAACAACATCTTTATTTATGGCTTTGTGAATCAACATCTTTGTGATAAGAAGTGAAAGTCACTTAGCTAATTATACATGCTTAATAAGCTGCTAATAATAACCACCAGTATTATACATTCGTTGAAGAGATGTAAATTACTGCAGTGTTTCTCATTTGAGGAGAAACAAGAGACTTTGTTTTAGTCGTTTAAAACACCCTTCTTTGTTGCCCCCATAGCCACCTTCTTAAGTATACTGCAATTTTAACCTAAACCATGGTATCAATAATAAAATAAAACTTGAACCCCACTGTACCAGTATGAACAAAGACATAACAACAAAAACAAATCCAAACAAATTTCAATTCAATGCAAATACTGCTGATCTGAAGTCAAGAACTGTGTTATATGAAGTTTCTGCCATATTATGTGGTCCCGGTAAAATAGAACAGTTTAGTCACAGCCCACCCCACAAGGGTTTTGTAATGAAATCTGACTTGGTCCAGCCAGGAGATCAGAAGTGCATAGAGAGATCGCACGCACAGTGCTAGAATATTAATATGATTTCTGTATGAAGACTGGAAAGTCTACAAAGTTATGAAGAGGGTCAAAATAACACTTAGATGATTTGCTGCTCTAGAAAATCATACTGTCCTATGAGGGATTTACTGGATGTTATATAAAAATGAAGTGTGGACGAGCTACATTCAGATGCAAGCCTGCAGCTGTCAGTGTCTACATTTGCTCAATCTGGCTAGAGGATGATTTGAAGGTTGATTTAATTGTAGCTTCTGAATCATGTTCTTCCCTATGTTTTAACATGTTTAACATAAATATAAAAATGTTAATTTCAAGACTGTAAACATTTAGTATAAAAATCTGCAAAATCTCATTCTCTTCTGGAAGAGTAACTAAAAATGAAAAGCCTGTCTTGGGGGAAAAATACATCACCTAATAATAGTAAGTGCCCAATAGTTATGCCAAATTTACCTTACATGAGAAAGTTCATGGGGTTTTCAGAGGGAGCTAAGAATAAACAAAGAAAAAACCAAGTCTGTGACTGAATTTATCAATATTAAGAGGAACAGAAATGTCTAGCTGTAGAAAAGGGTTCAGAGATCAAAAGTGGACCAGATGGAAGAGAGCATCATTTGGGTTCTTGAGGAAGCTGAATGCCCTAAGTATCGTTTCCTCGATACAGCTACTCAAAGCCCACATTCGATGCCTGTGGCTGCTACGGCACCAGGACGCAAGGCATCACCAATGAGCCTGGCCCACATCATCCCCGCAGCTAGGAGTCCCCTGAACTTAAGCATCTTTCTGGTCTTGACGCTTCATTCAGGCCCACACACCACCTAACCATTCACTTCCCAGCATCAGCCAAGCATCCTGAGGGGCAATGTCTTGTTCTTCCTCTGCGAGCTTGTTCCCCACTTTTTATTTCCACTTTTATACATACCTCCTTTTCTACATATTTTCTTGCCGGGTTTTCTGGCACATTCCTTGGATATTCTTTTTACTGAAAAATGAATAGAAGACTAGAAAATAACATGGCGCTCCATCACAGACCGCCGTAGCATGCAAGCCACTGTCTAGCTGAATACACTCCTGAGTTTACTGAGTGCCACAGATCCCCAATTTGTTGAGCCTGCACATGCAATGGAGAAATGTTGATGCATCTTCTCAGAAGTCATTCGGTAGGAAATGGAAATTAGGAACCCATTTCTACCTAAATATACGTGCTGCGGAGGAAAGAAAATGAGTAGGCATAGGGGAAAAATAGAAACAGGTACACTGACACACGTCAACAGAAAGAGCGGCATGCACGCATGTAAAATATGTGTACATGCCAACAGGAAAAGCCATGCATGCTACCAGTACACGTGAATTAATATTGTTAAAGCTTAGAATAGAAAAGAAAAAAATTAAATGTATCTCCCTGGTGTTTTTTTTCCTGCAGTAAACTCACCATCCTCCGTTGGGACATATATGTTTAAATACAGGCAGTCTTCGCTCTGGTCTTGTACATATGATGAAACCACATCCAAGTTATTAGTGAACCACACGGGAAGCATGACTTCTGGCAATCTGCCATCGATGATATTCTGGGGACACACGGGAGCAAACTGAGTGGCATTCCTGATATCTGACCAGGGAGACGGGGGTTCTGGAGGCTGAAAGCGATGTTCCCCCGTTGGCGGTGCTGCATATGGAACCCCAAGAAACTGGATAACAGGCCCCAAAATTTCATTATTGAGTTCTTTCTTAATCCCTCTTATCTTGCCGAAATTGGTAGTCACCAGTGGATCTGCATCATCCAATTTTTGGGAGAGTACGTGGGCAGCCTGAAGCAAACACGCCAACACACAGAGAGTGACTGAGGCGCCCAGCCCCCTGTGTAACAAGCACGCCATTGCTGCTCTCCAAACATAACCCGGCCACGTGCATCTGGGCAGTGCCATGGTCCCACATTAGTTGTCTAGTTGTCTGGTTACAGTGAGGCAAAAGTATTTGTATCCACTTGAGAAAGGTGTTATAATACACGTCCTGTTTCTCAAGAGTGAACTTGTCGAGAAAAGCTCAGAAAGCTCTTCCTGCAGCCAGTATCTCCCATTGATTTCACGTGTATTGAAGTAGCATCTTCAATCATCGCTTTTTATCAGACCATATCCTATTGACCACTCTGTTTTCCATAGTAGCAATGTGGTGAGAGAGGCCATTAACTGTAGATTTCCCTCTTATAAATCAACTCCAGTTGGCTGCAGGTCTCTATCCTAGAGAAAATGAAAATAAATCATTAGTATAAACAAGCTAAAATAGACAAAGTGATAACTAGATGTTTTACAAGCTCCAGGAAACATTAATAGTGGCTAGAGTCAAGGAAGTCAAATACTACTATGGGAAAATGTTGGTTTGACATGACATGACAAATGAAAACCTATTAGATTGAGAAACTTGCCTGCCAACTTTATATACTTTTAAGTGGAAGCAGGTCTTGTCAAAACATAGTTTCAAGAGCATTTTTAAAATAAAAGTTGTGTGTGAAATTTCCCTTCTATTAATAGTCTTCAGTCACTTCCACAAACCACACAATTAATCAGCAAACATGCTCAAAATTAAAATTCAATATCAGAAAACCTTTTTAAAAAATAAATATTGGTAAAGAATTAGTATAAAAAACAAAATCTGCAATTGTATATATTAAAGGGCAAACCAACAAAAAGCAGTCCGTAACCCCATGCTATATAGAAAAAGCAAAACTAATGTTATAACAAGAAAACTACTATTTGCTGAAGTACAACCATTTAAATACAACTACCTAATAACATAACCTCCTTGTTGTTTCTCAAAAGTCTGCCTAAAATCATTAGCTACAGGTCCCTCACCTTAAATTAAGCTTAAGAAATTTAAAAGACAAAATCGCTTTAGACACAATTTGAAAAAGAAACAGAAGTTGGCATCATGTTTTTTGCAGACAGTTTTTTTTATCATCTAGCTATACAGTTTGGATATCAATAAATTTGCAAGGTGAAGATTAATTTCTCAGTCAAAGTCAATATATTTTAAATTACAAATTTTGTTCTCACTATCTGTTAGAAATCAAAGCAAGAATACAAAAAAGGAGACTGCTCGGTAATTTAAAAGAACAATCATACCTAATCATCGCATCTTGCATATTAACACTGATCAAACATGGAAGGCTGTTTACCCAGTTCAACTTAAAATGCATCAGAATAAAATGTAACTTTCAGTGCAGTGCAATTCACAGTGTGGTCTTACATTAACTGCAAAACAGCACTCGCCTCGGCAAATCTGTCTTTTCTTATTCGAGCCACCTTTTAAGGAGCTTACTTTGAAAATAATAGTGTTGAAATGTATTACAGATGCTTCTGTCACATTAGGGAAGGACTCTTGGAGAAGTGCTGCTCTGGCAGTGAGGCTGCCCTGACTCTGTGTTATGGAAAAGGGCACCGTAAAAACCACAGAGGTCAGCAAGAGATTCGGTTCAGGCCTAGTGTTCCCTGAGCTCTGAACAATCCATCACAGAAGGCAATAAGGAGATAAATATCTTCCTTCACAAATACTTCTTTCTGTGTTAATTCGCATACCTTTGCTTTGAAAGCGAATTAACGTACAAAAGACGGGCTTAGACCCACCCCACTCCTGCCCCAGAACTCCAGCACCTAAGGGAGATTTAGCTACACAAACCCACTTCTGTGTGGAGTATATTATGGTGCTTCTTGTGCACAGTCCGGGTGGGCCACAGCATGGCTGAGTCTTTCCTAGTAACATTTTGGTGTTAAAAAGCACCCTTTTAATACCTCAAATAAAGAAGCCATGGTGAGGCCCTAAAAGTCTGTCCCTATTTTTTTATTCAGCCTAATTTTCAAGTACAATAAATTTCCAAAAGTTCTTCTTTACACACTTGGTATTTCATTAATAATAAAAAGTATTTGTTTGGTTATTAACAAAATAACACTTCTTTATCTATTTATAAATCTTTAACTGTGTTAAAAATAAAGGGGCTCTTGTTTCCCACTGATGTTCTTAACACAAATTGTGAAGGATTCGAATTCTGCGTGCCATGGTGAATTTTCCAATTCTAAGAATATTTAGCTCCTGAGGTTACAAAATGATCCCATTTCTCATGTGCTCAGTGTATGGAGAACTATAATGTTGACTCCAAAATTTTTTCATAAATTGCTATTATAATAATAACAGTCATCCAAGTCTAATGTGCAAATATGGCTTATTTAAATAACTAAAATTAAAAATATATAGTGGTTCCCCCCCCCCCC